TGCCTACAACAACAGCTACTAGTGGAGCATTCAGATGGCTCCCTATGAGGCATTATACGGTAGGCGGTGCCGATCACCCGTTGGATGGTTCGAGCCAGGGGAGGCTCGGTTGTTGGGTACAAATTTAGTATCGGATGCCTTGGATAAGGTCAATATTATTCAGGATCGACTTCGCACAACTCAGTCCAGGCAGAAAAGTTATGCCGACCGTAGAGTTCGTGATGTTGCATTCGTGGTCGAAGAGAGAGTTGCTTCGGGTATCACCCATGAAGGGTGTGATTAGGTTCGGAAAGAAGGGCAAGTTGAGCCCTAAGAAAATCGGGCCTTTTGAGATTCTTGAGAGAGTGGAGAGGTGGCTTACAGGCTTGCGTTGCCACTGGGTTTATCAGCAGTTCATCCGGTGTTCCATGCGTCCATGCTCTGAAAGTATCACGACGATCCGTCCCATGTGTTAGATTTCAGCTCTATCCAATTGGACAAGGATTTGACTTACGAGGAGGAGCCGGTGGCTATTCTAGCCCAGCAGGTTCGTCAATTGAGATCGAAGAGTTATTCTTCAGTCCAAGTGCAGTGGAGAGGTCAGCCCGTCTAGGCAGCTACTTGGGAGTCCGAGTCGGACATGCAGAGTAGATATCCCCACCTTTTCACCAGCCCGGGTACTTTTCTATGTCCGTTCAAGGACGAACGATTGTTTTAGAGGTGGAGAATGTGATGACCCGATAGGTCATCTTATGTTTTAGAACTTAATTCTGCACTTTGAAGCCTTAAATACCTTATTTTAGCCTTCCTTTATTTGTTTGCACAGTACGGGTGTTTTTCCGGAAAGCTTTTATGTTAAAAACTGAGAAAATATGAAATTTTAGCCTTAAAAATCCATTTGAGTTGACTTCGGTCAACATTTTGAGCAAATGGACCCGGAATCGTGTTTTGACGGTCCCGGTGGGTCCGTATCGTGATTTGGGACTTGCGCGTATGCCCGGAATGAAATTCGTAAGTCCCTAGCCCAAATTATCGGACTTTGTTGAAATTTGAAAGTTTGAAAGCTTAATGACTTTGATAGTTTGACCAATGTTTGACTTTATTGATATCGGGTCCGTAGGTCCAATACTACATTTATGACTTATTTGTCAAATTTGGTGAGAAACGGAGTTAGTTTGTCGTGGTTCGGACGACCGGTTGTGAAATTAGAAGTTAATGAGTTTTGTTGAAAATTTCCTTTGATTTGATGCTAAATTCGTAGTTCTATGTGTTATTTTGGTGATTTGATCACGCGAGCAAGTTCATCTGATATTTTTAGACTTGCGTGCATATTTGGTTTAGAGTCCAAAGGGCTCGGGGTGAGATTCGGATAGGCTACGAAGTGATTTCGACTTAGAACTCAGCTTGTGTTCTGCAATTTCTGGTACTGGTCTCTGATCTCACAATTGCTAGATCAGTGTTCGCATTTGAGAACATCCCAAATCCTGCCAGGCTCGCATTTGCAAAGAGTACCTGGGTCAACATAAGTTTGCATTTGCGATCAAGAGGTCGCAATTGCGGGGAGGCCAGAGTTCGCATTTGCGAACAATACTTTGCATTTGCGAAGTGGGGCTGGGGCAGGCTTGGTCGCAAATGCAGAAGATCAATGTTCGCAATTGTGTACAAGTCATCGCATTTGCGATGAAAGCATAGATGGGAAGGACTTTGCATTTGCGATTGTTTCTTTGCATTTGCGGGGCTTGCATTTGCGATTGTTTCTTTGCATTTGCGGGGCTTGCATTTGCGATCCCCGGGTCGCTAATGCGACATCTGCAACTGATCAAAATGGGAGTTAGACAGGATTTTTGTTCATTCTTCAAATTTTCAAAACAAGAAAACCCTAGAGGCGATTTTTCAAAGAACTCTTCTTCCCAAATCACTGGTAAGTGATTCTAATCCATTTTCTTTCAATATTTCACTACATTTCCTAAGATTTCAACCTAAAATCTAATGTTTTCATGGTGGAAATTGGGGGTTTGGGAATACTTAGGGATTTTTGCAAAATGGGGATTTAGACCTCAAATTGAGGTCGGATTCCAAAACAAATTACATAACCGGTCTCGGGGGTGTACGGGTAATCAGGTTTTTGTCCGAATTTCGGGATTGGACCAAGCGAGCCCAGGGGTTGACTTTTGTTGACTTTTTCAATAATGACCTAAATTGAATCCTTTGCAAGCATGGTAGGTCATAAGGCTTAATTTGAATCGTTTAGTTGGTAATTTCCTAGATTTTATTGGTTCGCAGGTTTTTTTGAAAGGCAAAGCCGTGGTTGAGCTTTGAGTGGAATATTGGAGCGAGGTAAGTGTCGTGGTTAACCTTGACTTGAGGGATTAGGACTTGTTTGTTTTTTTCCTACATGTTTAGATGTTAAGTACAACGTATATGTGAGGTGACGAGTACTTATGCGTTGTTGTCGGGTTAAAGCATGCGGGTGGAGACTTTTTCCTTGTAGTTTATTGCTTATTTTGATCTTGATATCCATGCTTAGACTAGTTACTTACTAAATTGATCATTCTTATCATGTTTACGTGCTTTTGTGATAATTGAGTATTGATTCCAAAGTTGAGATTGGTATTGTGGAACCATTGTTGAAGTAAGGCTTGTTCTTGTTGATTCAATCTCCCTGCTATTACTTGTTCATTGTTATGTGGTAAAGGAGAGTGTTAATGCACGAAGGGTGATGCCGTGCCATATTATGAGTGTCAATGCACGAAGGGTGATGCCGTGCCATATTATGAGTGTCAATGCACGAAGGGTGATGCCGTGCCATATTGTGAGTGTTAATGCACAAAGGGTGATGTTATGCCATATTGTGAGTGTTAATGCACGAAGGGTGATGTCGTGCCATGTTATGAGAGCTAATGCACGAAGGGTGATGCCGTATAAATTTTCTTCATTGTGTTTAGTTGTTTTTAATGGTTAAAGGCATGTTGACTGTTCTGGTTATCATTTCCGTTGTATCTCTTATATCTTATGCCCCTTTTGCATGTGCCCCTCCCAATAGTACATGTTTAGTTGTTATTTGCTATTACTTTGTACATATACTGTTATCTGCACAGGTTTATTATGTGGGTATCTTGCAATAGCCTCATCACTACTTCGTCGAGTATAGGCTCGATACTTACGTGTACGTGGGGTCGGTTGTACTCATACTACACTCTGCACTTCTTGTGCAGATTTTGGTACCGGTCCTAAATGATCGTGAGGTTTAGCAACTTGGACTTGCTTATTGGAGACTCAAGGTAGATCTGCTGGCGTCCGCAGACCTTGGAGTCCCCTTCTATCTCCCCCTTTCTATCTCCCTAATTTTATTGTTTCTTTTCATTCGGAATAGTTGTATTTCTTTCAGATTCTGTTTGTAGAAAATCTTAGAAGCTCGTGAGTTGTGACTCCAGATCCGAATTGTATCATATATTATGGGCTTTATGTTATTCCGCATTTCAGTTTTAGCTTCTATTTAGTTTGATTATGTTATTGAAATTGACTAAAATTGGTTTAAAGAATCCTTTAACATTGGCTTGCCTAGCAAGTGAAATATTAGGCGTCATCACGGTCCCGAAGGTGGGAATTCCGGGTCGTAATAGTATTAGAGAAATTTAACCACAAATCATGTTTAGACTACGTGTTGGCATTATAGTGACCCACGGGGGTCGTGTACATATTGAATTATCTGCTAAATTGCTATTTGTACTATGTCACAATTCGTTTGTATTTTATATCTCGGTCTCTATTGTTTATTTTTGATGCACCATATCATTGCTGTCTGAGCCACTTATTATGAGTTCTGAGAGCCCGAGAGACTGGACAGGTTGACGATTGAGTGAGGCCGAGGGCTTGATTGTGAGGTATTATTCTATAGCACGTGAGTAGTCCGTGCGGATCCAAATATTATACTATAGCATGTGAGTTGTCCGTGCGGATCCAGATATTATATTATAGCACATGAGTTGTCTATGCAGATTATAGCGCTTGGGCTGAAGGAGCCCCTCCGGAGTCTGCGCACACCCCCAGTGAGCGCAGGTACCTATTGAGTGCGAGTGCCGAGTTCTGAGTGAATTGGAAGGTTGAGTGACTGTGGCCCTGAGAGGATGCATTTGATTTCATTATTTTTGCATTACCTGTACCATTGTTTGAAATTTCTAAAAGATATTACACTCTGTTTCACTTGAACTGGTCATGGAACAACTGTTGACCTAATTTATCGAACTTGAGAGCATGCCTACTTTCCTATGTTGAAAACACTGTAATTGAACTATAACCGTGAAGCTCGTCACTACTTTCAGTTGTTTATTTAGTATCATTACTTGCTAAGTTGGTTGTACTCATACTACACCATGCACTTCGTGTGCAGATTCAGGTATTCCCGGACACAGTGGGTGTTAATTTTCGCACACAGTTGATCTTTTGGAGATGTTGAGGTAGCTGCCGACGTTTCGCATACCTTTATTATCCTTCCCTATCTTTCCACTTATTGTATTTGGTTTCAGATTTTCATAGACAATATTTTTCGGACATGTGATGTATAGATGCTCATGTACTCAGTGACACCCTGATGTTGGGCATTTTCGCGTTGTATTTTGGGTTTCTATCCAGTTTATGGGAAGTTGTTATCATTTAAACTATTTTAAATGATAGATAGATGTATAGATGCTCTGTTAAGTGTTGGAGTTATTTCATTAATATCGGCTTGCCTAGTACCACGATAGGCGCCATCCCGACGGGTTAGGATTTTGGATCGTGACAAGCAGGAACATCAACAAGCTGAGTATATACAATAAAGTGAAAGACGCAAAAAATAGCAGTAGTGAAGTAGAAAAAGAAGAGGAAAAATAGAAGCAACGAGTGAAGTATACGCATCTTTTGCGATAAAGAAAAAGCAGAGAAGGAAGAAGAAAAAAAAAGCAATGGCCAAGAAGAACTGGAGGAAACATCTCCAGGAAGAAAGAAGAAGAAGAAGAAGAAGTATAAAGAAATATAGATACCTGGAGTTTTTCAGAGTTCCAATATTTAAGGAGTTTCTTAAACCGAGAAGCTGGAACATCTTCAAGCATATGGAGTCGTCGAGTGTCATCATTGCCATAGGCGTCAAAGTTGTATTTATTCAATCTACTCTTGTGCTTTTTCCAGGCAGCTTGGACTGTTTCCAAAATCCATTTTTTTTCCAGCTTCATGAATATCATATTTATCCTACAATTGGTGTCAAATATGTTATTGCAAAAAATATGAAACATTTTCAACCAAAAATTAAAAATGAAGAACTTCAGAAATTGGTATATTCCCATATATCGTCTTTTGTATCAATCATCCTCCAATCCAAAATATTAAGAGGACATAGAGTCGCATTCATTGCCAACATGTTGAGGAGGCTTCCAAGCTGTAGCACAAATGCTTCACTAGGACCAACAAGCTGATTAAAATTGTTAAGTAAAATCAGTTTACGCTCATGTCGTCCATGAACATATTTCATCTTTGTTTTACCTTTTTTCTTTTTTGAATAGAAGGTCATACAATTATACGAACCAAAAAAAATCACCAAATTACTATTGTTGATACATTATTTATAACTAAAATAGGATGTAAACTTCTTTGGATAAAATATATAGTTCTTACCTTGTTCTTCACATTGTTCATCACTGATAGGAGTTGTAGAATTCAGTTGAACTTGTTCCTCTACTACTTCTACTACAAGAGTGGTTGATCTAGTTTGTACATGTGTTACTACTCCTGGACATTGTGACAGTAGCAGATTCTCTTCAATAATATTCGGGCGCTCTTTGTTTGATTGTCTAGCAGGAATAGTATATTTTTGGCTAAACGAATTCCTTATTTGGTTTGCCAAAGATGCCATAGTTCCAGCTTTTATGTATGCCGTGCCTGTCTTTCTTTTGGATTTTGAAGGTCTTTCTTGACTCATGTTTATCGGAATCTGTGACGAACACATATAAAAATAGGGGGAAAGATTTAGATATGAGTACCAAATTGATATAAATGTCAAAATGAGAAGGAAAATCGAGCAAAGGCTAACTGCTAGTTCACACAGAAATAGAGAATATAACGTTATATATTGTCAGCCATCATCTAACCTATAAAGATGCAACACTACTTCAAATGTCAGAATGAGAAAGAAAAATGAGCAAAAGCTAACTGCTTCTTCATTATTATAAGGCTACAAAGTAGATATAGATTCAAATGGAGTTCAAATACCAAGGTCATATGCAAGAGCTGCTCGGATATAAGAAAAGCTTGGAATTGAAACAAACTAATCTTGAACTGAAATATATTAAAATAGCTCCATGTATCAGACTATTGTATCAAGTACTTAGTTGTCATGACCCAAAATTTAACCCGTCGTGATGGTGCCTATCGTGATACTAGGCAAGCCGACATCTCCAAAACACTTTCAACATTTAACAAAAATGAATTAATATATTTAAAATAACTTGCGTCTTTCAAGAAAACAGGGTAAAACCCAAAGCATAAGTGCGGAAAAATTGCCCGACATCGGGGTATCACTGAATCACGAGTATCTAGATATCCAGTCTAATACAAATAGTGTCTGAGAATCAATACTGAAAAGAAAGAAAACATAAAAAGAGAGACAAGATTTGCGGACGTCGACAGCTACCTCGTAGTCTCCGGTACTCGATGGCGCACGAACTCAACGACCTCCGTGATCAAACACACCAAGATCTGCACATAAAGTACAGGGTGTAGCATGAATACAACCAACTCAGCAAGTAGTAGAAATAAATAAAGAACTGAGAAGGTAGTAACGAGCTATACAAATACAGTTCATTTTCAATAATTCCAGCAAAGAATAGACATGCTTTAAAATCCGACAGTTACAGTGCAGGTAATCCGGATATAGAATCATTCAGAAATTTTACAACAATGACAGATAGCAACTAAATGCATCAACAAATAGAAAACAAGTACAACCTCTCAGGGCACCAGACACTCAACTCATCACAACAGCTAAATCACTCGGCTCTCAGCCCTCAGTACTCACACTCAATAGGTACATGCGCTCACTGGGGGTGTGCACACTCCGGAGGGGTTCCTTTCAGCCCAAGCGCTATAATCCGCACGGACAACTCACGTGTTGCACGGACAACTCACGTGCTATCGTATCATATCAAGATCCGCACAGATAGCTCACGTGCTACAGTATCATATCAGAATCCGCACGGACAACTCACGTGCGAAGTATAAATATCATGATTCGCACGGACAACTCACGTGCTACGGTATCTATATCTCATAACCAGGTCCTCGGCCTCTCTCAGTCATGTACCTCTCTAGTCTCACGGCCCTCAGAAATCATAAAGATCAGCCCAAGCAAATAACAGTGTATCACCAAGAATCAAGAAGAGATTGAGATATGATGCGCAAGTAAAATCATGACTGAGTACAAGACGGCAAATAGCAGTTAATTCAACAAGTACTCGACCGTTGCGTGTCCCAATAGTGATAACATATGACGTAAGCATGATTTCTAACATGATTTGTAGTCAAATCTCTATAAAACAGAGAGAACATGCAATTAGCAATAGTCTATTCGATTTTACAGTCTCACGGGATGGACCAAGTCACAATCCCCCACGGAGCACGCCCACACGCTCGTCACCTAGCATGTGCTCGACCTCTAAAATAGTCACATCAAACCAAAATCCGGGGTTTCATACCCTCAAGACTAGTTTTAAAACTGCTACTTACCTCAAACAGCGCAAAATCCTACTCCGTAATGCCCTTGCCCCTCGAATCAATCTCCAAACGCCCTGAATCTAGCCACAAGCAGCACGATATAATTAATATAAGTTAAATGAATTGATTCCACAAGAGAAACACGAAATTATAAGCCAAAATCCGAAATAGGCTTAAACCGGCCCACGTCTCGAAATCCGACAAAATTCAAAAAATATGAACACCCATCCACTCACGAGTCCAACCATACAAGAATTACTCTAATCCAACCTCAAATCACCTTCCAAAACTCGAAATTTTAGCCTATGAAGTTTCTACCATTTTTCCCAAATTTACAACTCAAATCCCTAATTAGATGATGAAAATAGCAATAGATTCATGAAATATAGTCCAATCCGAGTTAGAATCACTTACCCCAACAATCTTCTTAAAGAAACATCAAAATATCGCCTCACACCGAGCTATCTAAGTCCCAAAATCGAAATGGGAATCAAACCCTCGAAGTTCCATTTTCTGCCCAGTTCTTCCGCACCTGCGGACATTCTGTCGCATCTGCGACACTGCACCTGCAGAAATTCCATCGCAGGTACAGATCCCACTTAAGTTCCCAGATTCCGCATCTGCGGTCACATATTCGCACATGCGGGTGCGCACCTGCGGGCTCTGTCCGCTTCCGCGATCCTTTCCACTCAAGCCTTTTTCGGCATCTGCGCCTCCCCTTTCGCATCTGCGGTTTCGCAGATGCGCTCCTAACCTTGCACCTGAGCTTCCAGTCCAACCCGGCCTTTCCCTCATCTGCGTCCTCCTCTTCACTTCTGCGGGGCCGCACCTGCGAGCTTACACCGCAGGTGCAAAACACCAGAAGAAACCAGCAATGACTAAGTCCAAATTTCCATCCGATGGGCATCCGAAATACCCCCGAGTCCCCCGGGACCTCAACCAAACATACCAACAAGTCATATAACCCCATGCGGACTTAGTCGAACCTTCGTATCACTCAAAACAACATCAAAACACCAGATACACCCGGATTCAAGCCTAAAGAACTTTTAAACTTTCAAATTTCACAAACGACACGGAAACCTACCAAACCACATCCGATTGACCTCAAATTTTGCACACAATTCATATTCAACATTACGGACCTACTCCAACTTCCGGAATCAGAATCCGACCCCAATATAAAAAGTCAACCCCCCGGTCAAACTTCCCAAAAAATGCGACTTTCGTCATTTCAAGCCTAACTTAGCTACAGAGATCGAATTGACAGTCCGGACACGCTCCTAAGTCCAAAATCAGCAAACGGAGCTAACGGAACCGACTGAACTCCATTCCGGAGTCGTCTTCACATACTTCCGACTACGGTCAAAATCTTGAGACTTAAGCTTCCATTTCAGGGACTAAATGTCCCAAAACACTCCGAAACCAAAAACAAGACCTCCCGGCAAGTCACTTAAGAAGAAACAGATACGATGAAAACTGTAAATAGGGGATCGGGCCTAATACAGTTAAAACGACTGGCCAGATCGTTACATCCTCCCCCTCTTAAAACAATCATTCGTCCTCGAACGAGCATAGAGACATACCTAAAGCGGTGAAAAGATGAGGATAATGGCTGCGCATATCATGCTCAGTCTCCCAAGTCGCCTCCTCGACCGGCTGACTCTTCCACTGAACCTTCACAAAAGCAATATTCTTCAACCTCAGCTTTCGAACCTGCCTATCTAAGTTCGCCACCGGCTCCTAAACATAAGATAAATCCTTGTCCAATTGGACTGAGCTAAATTCCAACATGTGAGACGGATTGCCGTGATACTTTCGATCCAAAGAAACATGAAATACTAGATGAGCTCCTGCTAGACTAAGAGGCAAGGCAAGCTCATAAGCAACCTCCCCAACACGTCGCAATACCTCAAATGGACTAATAAACCTCGGGCTCAGCTTGACCTTCTTTCCGAACCTCATAACACCCTTCATGGGTGACACCCACAGCAAGACCCGATCTCCAACCATGAATACAACATCGCGAACTTTCCGATCCGCATAACTCTACTGTCTGGACTGGGCTGTGTGTAGTCTATCCTGAATCACCCTAACCTTCTCCAGAGCATGAACCAAGACTGTACCCAATAATCTGGCCCCGCTCGCCTCGAACCAACCCACTGGAGACCTACACTGCCTACCATACAGAGCCTCATACAGTGCCATCTGGATGCTCGAGTGGTAACTGCTGTTGTAGGCAAACTCCGCTAGAGGCAATAACTGATCCCACGAACCCCCAAACTGCATCACACACGCACGTAGCATATCCTCTAATATCTTAATAGTGTGCTCGGACTGTCCGTCCGTCTGAGGGTGAAATGTTGTGCTTAACTCCACTCGAGTACCCAACTCATGATGTATGGCCCTCTAGAGCCGTGATGTAAACTGCGTACCTCGGTCAGAAATGATATATACCGGTACACCATGAAGCCTGACGATCTCGCTGATATACACTCGAGCCAGCTGCTCGGAAGAATAGGCAGTCATCACAGGAATGAAATGAGCTGACTTGGTCAGCCGGTCCACAATCACCCAAACTGCATCAAACTTGCGCTGAGTCCGTAGAAGCCCAACAACGAAATCCATAGTGATCCCCTCCCATTTCCACTCCAGAATCTCTAACTTCTGAAGCAACCCACCTGGTCGATGATTCTCATACTTCACCTGTTGGCAATTTAGGCACCGAGCTACACACTCCACTATGTCCTTCTTCATTCCCCTCCACCAGTAATGTTGTCTCAAGTCCTGATATATCTATGCAGTGCCCGGATGAATAGAATACCGCAAACTGTGAGCCTCCTGGAGAATCAACTCACACAAACCATCTACATTGGGCACACATAGCCTGCCCTGCATGCTCAATGCACCATCATCCCCAATAGTGACCTCCCTCGCATCACCGTGCTGGACCGTGTCCTTATGGACGAGCAGATGGGGGTCATCATACTGACGCTCCCTAATACGATCATAAAGAAGACCGAGAGACCACATAAGCCAATACTCGACTTGGCTCATAAATGTCTAATTTAACAAACTGGCTGGCTAAGGCCTGAACATCCAATGCCAATGGCCTCTCTGCTGCTGGAAGATATGCTAAGCTCCCCAAACTCACTGCCCGGTGACTCAAGGCATTGGCCACCATATTGGCCTTCCCGTGATGGTACTAAATGTTGATATCATAGTCCTTAAGAATTTCCAACCACCTCCGCTGACGCAAGTTAAGATCCTTCTGTTTGAACAGATGCTGCAAACTCCGATGATCAGTGTAAATCTCACAATGGGCCCCGTACAAATAGTGCCGCTAAATCTTCAAGGCGTGAACAATAGCTACTAACTTAAGGTCGTGGACAGGATAGTTCTTCTCACGGGGCTTCAATTGGCACGAAGCATAAGCAATCACTCTACCATCGTGCATCAGAACACACCCAATACCGATCCGCGAGGCAAAACAATACACTGTGTAAGAACCAGAAGCTGATGGTAGAACTAGAACTGGAGCTGTGGTCAAAGCAGTCTTGAGCTTCTGAAAGCTCTACTCGCACTCATTCGACCACCTGAAAGGAGCACCCTTCTGGGTCAATTTAGTCAAGGGCGATGAAATAGATGAGAAACCCTCCAAAAAAATATGGTAATGGCCCGCCAACCCAAGAAAGCTCCAAATCTCTGTGGCTGAGAACGGTATGGGCCAACTCTGCACCGCTTCTATCTTCTTCAGATCCACCTGAATACCCTCACTGGACACCACGTGCCCCAAGAACGCCACTGAACTGAGCCAAAATTCACACTTGGAGAACTTTGCATAACGCTTCTCCTCCCTCAATCGATGTAACACAATCCTCAGATGGTGAGCATGTTCCTCCTGTCTACGAGAGTACACCAGGATGTCATCAATGAATACAATAACGAACGAGTCAAGATAAGGCTGAAACACACTGTTCATCAGATGCATGAACGCTGCTTGAGCGTTGGTCAGCCCAAAAGACATCAGAAGGAACTCATAATGGCCATATCGGGTCCTGAAAGCTGTCTTAAGAATATCTGAGCCCCGAATCTTCAGCTAGTGATACCCTGACCTCAAATCAATCTTGGAGAACACCATCGCTCCCTGAAGCTGGTCAAATAAATGATCATTACGCGGCAAAAGGTACTTGGTCTTGATTGTGACCTTTTTCAACTGTCTGTAATCAATGCACATTCTCGTAGTACCATCATTCTTCTTCACAAGTAGAACTGGTGCACCCCAAGGTGACACGCTAGGCTGAATAAACCCTTTATCAAGGAGTTCCTGAAGCTGCTCCTTCAACTCCCTCAACGCAGTCGGTGCCATATAGTATGGTTGAATAGAAATGGGCTGAGTGCCCGGCACCAAATCAATACCGAAATCAATATACCTGTCGGGCGATATGCCGGGCAGGTCTATAGGAAACACATCCGAGAAATCTCACACCACCGGAACAGAATCAATAGCAGGGGCTTCTTCACTAACATCCCTCACAAAGGCTAGATAAGATAGACAACCTTTCTCAACCATCCGCTGATCTTTAAAGTACGAAATCACTCTATTGGGATCATAGTCTATAAAGTTGCTCCACTCAACCCTCGGCAACCCCGGCATAGCCAACGTCATGGTCTTAGCGTAACAATCTAGAATAACATGACATGGAGACAACCAATCCATACCTAAAATCACGTCAAAATCGACCATATTAAGCACCAAGAGATCTACTCCGGTCTCCAGGCTCCCAATAGTCACAACAAATGACCGATATACCCGGTCCACCATAATAGTATCCCCCACTGGAGTAGATACATGAACAGATGAAACTAGAGACTCACGGGGCATATCTAGAAAATGAGCGAAATACGATGATACATATGAATAAGTGGAACCAAGGTCAAATAATACAAAGGCATCTCCGTGGCAAACTGAGAAAATACCTGCAATCACAGCATCTTAAGCAATGGCATCTGGTTTGGCAAGGAGAGCATAGAAACGGGCCTGGCCACCCCCTGATCTGCCTCCACCTTTCGGGCGACCCCTAGTTGACTGAGTCCCACCTCGAGCTAGCTGGACGGGTGGTGGAGCTGCTGGTGCTGGTGCCATCGGCCGAGTACTCTATTGTAGAGCCCCACTCAACAACCTAGGGCAATCTCTCTTAATGTGTCCAAAATCTCCGCACTCAAAACAACCGCTCCTCTAATGGAACTACTACTCCCGATGCCCAGAGGAACTACCCGTGGAAACCTGAGCTGACGAGGCATGGTGAAAACTCTGCGCTGGTAGTGCACTGAACGATGGCTGGCCCTGCTGATGACAATGTGATCCGTGGCCAGATGATGCACCACGGTGGATTGGGCCAGCCATCTGAGTATGTCTGAAAGGACGACCCCTACCGTGGTGGAACTTCCCCCAGAAGGAACATCACTAAATCCACCCTGTCCACGAGGCCTCTTGGCTTCCCTCTCAACCCGCTCCTGGCTGCGAACCATCTCAATCTAACGAGCAATGTCGACAACCTCATCGAAAGTAGCACCAGACACTCTCTATAGTCATAAGCAATCACAGTTGAAAAGTGAGTCCATTTATGAACCTCCTGATCCTCTCCCTGTCTGTGGGAACCAACCAGATAACATGATGGGCCAACTCTGAAAATCTCATCTCATACTGCATCATGGACATATCACCCTGACGAAGCTGTTTGAACTGCTTACACAGCTCCTCTCTACGGGACTGAGGCACGAACTTCTCACAGACAGGGAGAACTGCTGCCACGTAAGGGGTGATGTGCTGACCAACCTACGCCTCACGTAAGCCACCCACCAACTGAAGGCAGCCCCAGAGAACTGAAAGGTAGTGAACGAGACCCCACTGGTCTCTAGAATACCTGTTGTACGGAGTATCCTCTGACACCTATACAAGAAGCCCTGTGCATCCTCTCCCTTGATACCACTGTAAGATGGAGGCTGGAGTCTCCCAAACCTCTCTAATCGATGCAGCTCATCATCAAGCATGACATGTACCACATAGACCTGAGAAGCTAAAACTGGTTGGGCTGGTGGTGCCCCGGTGTCTAGAATCCCTGTACCACCTGCTCCGGTGTGCGGGTGGCGAGAGTCTGAGCACCTCCCCCGGCCTGAGAAGTGGCTGCTGCGGCTGGAACAGAGACCGCCTGAGCTAGACTGGTACACACGATCAGAATATGATCTAAGGCCTCTTGAAGACATGGAATCACAATAGGCACAGGTGGTGCCTGAGCTAGTCCCACCGGCTTATCCACAACTGGAGTCTGCTCCTCAACTGGGGCAACTAGTGGATCTGCATGTGCTGTCCTAGCTGCGGTGCGAGCTGCACCTCTGCCCCTACCACGGCCTCTACCGCGGCCTCGGCCTCTCGCGGCCCTGGCTGGACGTACCAGTGGTTGTCCGTCCTGCCCCGTAGTACGAATCTTCGCCATCTATGAGAGAATAAAACAACAGATGTTCAGTCACCAGACTCAACAGATTTGCACGACAAGAATTCAAGAATGAGAAGTTTTTCCTAAGGGCTCGGCATCCTCTCGAAGATAAGTACAGACGTCTCTGTACCGATCCGCAAGACTCTAATAAACCTGCTCATTACTCGTGAGACCTATCTAACCTAGGCTCTGATACCAACTTGTCAGGACCCAAAACCTAACCCGTCGTGATGACGCCTATCGTGATACTAGACAAGCCGATATCTCCAAAACACTTTCAACATTTAACATAAATGAATTAATATATTTAAAATAACCAGCGTCTTTCAAGAAAACGAGGTAAAACCCAAAGCATAAGTGCGGAAAAATAGACCAACATCGGGGTGTCACTGAATCATGAGCATCTATATATCCATCTAATACAAATAATGTCTGAGTATCAATACTGAAAAGAAAGAAAACATAGAAGGAGAGACAAGGTACCTGTGATCACTAGGGGTGTGTAGACTCCGGAGGGGCTCCTTTCAACCAAGCGCTCTAATTCGCACGGAAAATGATCGCAAAAGGGTGCATTTATCATATTGTGCGAGTTAGAGATGCAGATGCTGAG